ACCACCACGATCAGTTACGTAATCGCTGTTTAAAGTCTGATCTGAGATTTTACTTAACCGGATCTCATAACCCGACAATACAAAAATTATTATCGTTATTATTAAATAATACGAAATTTTTATTGCGTCAAAAAAAGTGTTTATTCGAAATTTGTTCGGTAAACAATTATTACCTATCTTTACATACTATATCATGGATTTTCATTGCGTCAAGAAAAATGGTTATTCGAAATTTATTTGGTAAATGTTCATGAATTTAAGTTTGCTAATAAAAAAAAAGAGTATTTTATTTCGTGTTCCAGGCTCTTGCAGGTTTTTCGCTTGGTTCAGATTTTTTATGTCGTTTATTATCTTTTGAATTGACGTGAAATTGGTTCAAAATTTGGTTGTGAAAGGCTATAAGACTTTCAAGAAGGTCAAGCACCTATATTAGAGTAGTATCAATATCAAGTTTAGATGTTTTTAATTTGATTATCATTATTATCAAGAACTATTGAAGTAATCGTTATAGAAGTTGTGCATCATCAGGCGATATGTGAATTTTCTCCCAATGGCTTTTTCGGCTTCTTCAATTAATGCTGTAATGGGATAGTATGAATTCCATTGAACCTAAATTGAAATAATATAAAGATAAACTTATCAAACTTTTCTGAAGAATGAGGCCGTACGTGTTTAGAATTGTCTAAACTTTTTTGTCTTTTTTTCAAACTCTTGATGGCAATTACACCAATAAGTGAATAATATAATGCTTCTTATGATAAAAATTCCGTTACCTTTCTATATTGCCTCACAATCTCAATCTCAATCGCTATTAAGTTTGCATGTGATTCAATATTTTCTAATTTTATCAATTCGATTTGAAAGATTTATAATTGCATTAAGATCCATTCGTGCACTCTCTTCTTCCATACTATCCATAAGTTATTTATAAACTACATCTTCGATATCTTCAGGTTCTATAGCACTTTCTTGCAATTCATAAATATTATTCACCTTCTGCTCTTAACGTTTCCGTTTTTTGCCTTTATTTATACGAGTTAAGCATTCAATACATGTTTCTTTATTGGCTTCAAATTCATTAATTTATTTTTATTATTCGGCATTTTTTTAAATTCAATTGGGGTTGAATAGTCGGATTCCATTAATGAAACATTTGGTAAAAAAATTTTTAAACGACACTTGTTATTAAGTTACAATATAATAAAAAAAACATTGTCATTATTAACTCATTATTAACTATGACTGATACATGCGTCATTAAAATTTCGGCAATTAATTCCAACTCTGTACGTAACTGATCGTGGTGGTTATGCTAGGTTTGTGTCTTTATACTGTGTAAAATTATAATTTTAAGGATTTGCAAATTGTTATTATATTAGACATTATTACCATTCGTATATAATTACTTCGACAGTACATCTAGTGTTCGAAAACGGATTAAAAATCCCGGTTGATCCAGGATTGCGTAATTCAGATTGAATCCGGGAGTGATCCGTGCCAATCCGAAGGTTGATCCGAGGTTTGTCACATTTATTTACCATAATATATGCGATAAATTCGAATTTGTCACGTGATATATTCGAATAAATCTCTTATATTGTGACACAAGGTGTGGTGAATTCGAATTTATCACGCGACAAATTCGAATTTATCATTTATAGTGATTATATAAAGACATGACCTAAAATTAGGCCAATCCCGCTCAATCCGGGCCCAATCCGAATTTTCTGGGCCAAAACTGATCCGATTCAACTTTTCGAACACTATGTACATCACAGTATTATAACTACAATCCCAAGCAGATTTGCCTGCCAAACTGTGTAAGAAATAACCGAATTTTAAACCAATCTTTGTAACTTTATCTTCTATAACATGGCTTTGAATATTTCATTAGTTATTTTTCAAACTTTCGGAAATTAATAATATATATCGATATATATATATATATATTAAAAAATCGGAATATATTAATAATCGGAAGTCGGAAAAATGAAATACATTGTCTAGCTATATAAATCTAAGTATTATTTTTCAAAAGTATATAAAACAAAAACTAAATGCTCACAGTGAGGGTCGAACTCACGACCTTGGCGTTTCAATAATTAATATTAGCACCACGCTCTAACCGACTGAGCTATGCGAGCTTATATTTAAAAAAAATAAATTTTGTTCATTCTAATATATTATAAATTGCTTTATAAAAATAATAAAAGTTGATAAACATCTAAAGAACGAAATTGAAGAAAAGAATCGACTCTGACTACTAATGTCTGTATGCAAAATCGGATGATAAAGATTTATATTATTCAAAATTCAATGATATTTATAATTTATGTTGAAGGTGTGATGCCCTCAAAAAAAAAATTATTATTAATTATGTGTTCCACACTAACATATAACCCAAAAATGAATGAAATTTGTCTAAGAAAATTTTTTTTTTTTCGTCTAAAAAATGTCCGTGAAGTAATAATACTAGTAGTTTATAAAAACTTAACCACGGGTAAATTTTCCGTAAATATGAAGAATGAATACGGATCCGATAAACGCAAGTGCAAGAACGACGACAACAACCGGATCTCTGTAATATTAGTACACATAAGTCATTTTAAAGTAACATTTGGATTCGTTTATAAATTGAATAACTTACACTTTTAAACCTGGGGCATCATCAGTGTATAATTTCATCATGGTTGAAGAACTACCACCAGAACGTGAAACAGTTTTATTCCCACCCGGCGACGTTGTACGTCTCCTGTGAAAAGAATGAATTTTTTTTAATATTTACATGAAATAATTCGATTAAAAAAGTATTTTTACTGAGAATATAGAAATCTAAATTTCATAAAGATTCCAAAAGTTCATTTACGATAGAGATTAAGCTTACCTGACAGTGCCTTTTGGATTTCCAGTGTCCTATATAATCCAAGTCAATATTGTCATTAAGAAAAAAGAAATAGTGCTATGACTCAGTATTAAAATACATACCGCCATATTGTTTTGAGATATATAGTTAAAAAAAATATATTAAAAGAGAGAAAGGTGTTCAATGAAGATTTGGAGACGCTGGCTTGTATGTATTTTGGTTTTTTTTTTTTTTTGTGTCTCATATTTGGATTTAAACACGAGTCTTTTTTTTATTGGTGAATGTCAGTTTATTGCAATTTAATGCAGTAATATCTATAATATCTATAATATCTATTATTGTGAAACAATTGATTCTTTTATATCAAGTTCGGAATTACCAACGAAATTTAGGTACCCGACGATCCATCAGGAATAGTATTTTTAAAGATTCAAGTAACAAAGTTTACAGCTTAAAAACCAATTGTAAACCAAAACTTCATCTTTTTTGTTATTTAATAAATATTAACTATCGACAATGTTTGTAATTAAGATATCAGATATACAGTATATACATATTAATATATAAACGAATTATATTAAACCAATTTTACAATACACAGTATATACAGTATATACAGTATATATATATACATATATATATACAATATTAACATTAAGTATTAACACAGGCTATTTATAATCTACTCTTTAAATTTTGAGGATCAAAATGTAATATATGTTTTAAATAAATCATATCAATTACAAATTTGTTTATTGGGGTAGGAATCCCATAAATTTTACCCAATTTTACCAAATATCCATTCAAATAATTAATTTCAGTTAATTGACAAGTCTGAATATCTTTTAACATATCAGAACTTTGTAGTGCAGTTTTTTTACAAATTTGTCTTATTGTATTAATTAATCTTTCAGGACCAAACATATTTGTAGGTCTCATTCCTAAATGTTCACAATGTTTTTTCATTATTTGAGATGATTCATTACATAGTGCATATAAAACTCGATCAGCACCTGGATTGTCTAATAATCCTCTGTTACGCATACTAAAAATTGCAGTAATCGGATTGATACAAGCATTAATAACTAAATTCTCTAATAATCTATTTTGTAGACTTTGCACATTAATATGTCTTACATATAATTCAGGAATTTTGATTAAAGTTTTTATTGTTGTATTTAACGAATCCATTATATTAAATTGTGTCTCAGTTTTTTCATTTTCATTTTCGGAATTTTTCGATATTAACGGAGACGATCCATTCTTTGCTGATTGCGAAGATATATCTCTAGAAAAATTTCCTTCTATTGATTGATCATCATGTCTAGGCATAATCCCAAGATCAATTTCACCAACTTCACTATATAAGATATCAAATTGATTACCCGTATTCTTTATCTTACGACATATATGTGAAGATATTCCCATTAAAATGTTTGGTCTCGATTTTTCATTATTTGAGAAAAAATTTTCCATTAATTCTTCATAAATTCCCATTCCATTTGATAATAAAACTATTGTACTCGTTGGAGATAACCGATAAAAGATTTTTTGAAACGATTGATTAACATCATAAGCTCTTGTAGTGATTATTAGTCTCCGAATTTGCATATTTGGTGGACAAACACCATAACGTTGATCCATTAATTCATTCATATTATGTCTACGTAAAACTTCTGTATCATAACCGTGAGTTTGTTCGACACTATCCTTATCTTGAATTACAGTTATTGTTCGTTTACGTTTTTCAAAATAGGTAAGAGCAGAAGGAGTCCGAAGTATTAAAGTAACCTTGTGATTGTGTTTTCGGAGGTAATGAGCAATCAAGTTACCGAGACTACTATCGCCAAGAATATGAAATCTCATAGTTAATGCTTTAAATTTTTCATGAATGAGATATTTAAATTTTTTTTTTGGTGTTAAGATAATCTCTTTGGCCTGAAAACATTTTATTAAATATACAGATATATTTACAATTATAATAAAAGTATATTAAGCTATATATGTACTTTTGGTGTCTAATTTAAGTAGACTACTTAAAGGTTTTATATTATCTGCTATATCTGCATCCCAACTATAAGGAATACCTATTTAAACCCTCTGGTTACAACTGCATATTTTGGACACCTAACTCTGAATATTAGCTCACTATATATATGTAGATTTTACCATCTACCTATATAGATTTTGTACTTTATCTTAGGACTATTTATCCTCGAGATAAACCTAATAGAGTAGTTCATATCTTATACATGTTTTTACCTGTATGTTCGATAACTTCTTCTGAACTAGTATATACTGTGCTGCTATACTGTATGCATGTCTCATACTATCTTTTAGAATATTGCTATTTCATAGTCACTCAAGCTACAACTTTTCTAGTTAGTCATCTATTATATATCTCTTGTCCTTATTGGGTTTACAACAATCCTAGTATTTACATTCTAACTTCTTTTATTCCCAAATTCCTTACCAGTTCCTTCCTTACTTCCAGCTAGTAACCCAGAAGAGTTAGTCTGCTCAGGCTTTAAATACCTTATAGTTGCTCTTCTCTTAATACATACTTCCAAAGTATATATTATTTTTCTCTAGTTGGTAGTCTAGCAGTTTAGCTAGTATGTTTCTCTACTTAAGAACCTAGTTGCTCAGTTTTTCAATCTTGATTTCTAGTTTTAATTTCAGTCTTTCTATAGCTAGAAAACTTGGCATAGTGACTCTTGGCATACTAGTAGCATGCTTTGTTTAAAAAAATTAATGTAGCATATCATTTTATTAAAATATATAAAATATATATAAATATTAGGTATTAATATATGTAAAAGACAATATGAGATTGGTTTTAATATGAAATTAATTAGTATTTAAAGTTTGCTAATGATTAGTAATTATAAAAAATACTAATTAACCTCAAGTTAAAACCAACCTCATATTGGTTCTTTATAATATATACTTACTATATTATATAGATTTATACAATACTTTTATATAATAAGAGTTAAATATTTTTATTTAATAAGAGTTGAATACTTTTATTAAATATTCACAGGTTGAATCAATGAATAACAGGTACATATCAGGAGACAAATCTTCTGGTATGTACCCATTATTCTACTACACATCTGCCAAATAAATGTAGTATATCGATAGCATATTGGTAATATATAGGTTAAATATCAGGAGGTAGATTGATAATGATAACATAACAGTAACATATCGGGACATCACAATTTCTTACTCTTATCCAAATAGTGCTAAGAGTAAGATATCGGGATATCCCGGTATGTTACTATTATGTTACTATTATTGATCTACCTTCCGATATCTAATCTATATGTTACCAATATGCTACCAATATGCTACAGTTATTTGGCAGATATGTGGTAGAATAATGGGTATATACCAGAAGATTTGTCTCCTGATATATACCTATTATTCATTAATTCAACCTGTGATTAGGTTAAATAATAACAGAATATATATAGTATATTATTTGTTCTTAACTATTCCTATACTTATATAAAAAAATTAATATATTGTTGTAATAAATACTATCAGCTTCAAGTACAAAGCAATAAGATTATATAAAAATTATGTTGTACAAGATGGTAGCATATCAAGGTAGTATTTTTAGCATAAATTTTAAAAAATAGCATACTATATAATATGCCAAATAAATTTGTATATATTAGATTCTCTACTTATAGCATTATTAAAGATTACTACTATTTCTCAACTTAGAACTTTCCAAATAGGTTTTTAGTTATTCTGGTTTCTTGAATTTATTATACCAAAGCTCTTATTCTAGATAGTGTGACCAAGATTACAAATTAGAATTTAACCAATCAATAATAGCTATTAACTATATTACAGGATTATTTTTCAAAAATATCATTCATGAGATTCAAACTCTAAACCTGCTATCTACAGTAGAAGTTTACTAAGTTACCACACTTTTATAGTAGTATTTAAGTTATACCAATTATTTTATATAAAAAATTAAAAAATATTATTTTTTTGAAAACAAATATTTAATAAAATTTTAAAAAGTATTTGATAAAGTTTAAAGTTTATAATATAAATCTATTTGTATTATATTTGGTTTAATAACAAAAAAAGTTGTTAAATAGTTTAATATTCTTTGACTACAATCGATTTAAATAAGCCCTAAAAAATTTTTATTAATATATTATTTATGCATATCTATCGCTAAATATTATTGTATTATTGAAATTATCAAAGTACTAATTATTAATACTAACATATAATAAAAATACTTTTTATGTTATTTGTATTAAATATATTAGCTTCAAAAATAAATTAATCAAAATAGTTTATTATATTTATATTTTTGCTTAAAACCAACTACCAGAATAGTATTTTTTATTAATTAAAAAAACTAAATAGTTGCTAGTTACTGAATTATCAACAATAAAAAAATTATTTAACTATATAGTTTTATAAACTTAACTTTTGTATAATTTCAAAAGCATTACACAATTTGATTTTGTTTAAATATATTTGCAATTTATAATACTACAATACAAATAAAATACTACTATTTACATTATTCAACTCTCCTTGACGATCTCTTATACCAACTTCTCCAAAAAGGCTGACCTATGAAAACTATACAGTTAATATATTTAAACACCACAAAACTTCACTAGTAGTGGTGAGGAACAATGGCTATTTACTGCATGTTGGTGTAAGTAAAATAGATTTAAAAAGAGTTGTCCTTGAAAGTGAAATCACCTGACAGAAGACTATGGTACTACTAGGCAAAGAAGTAGCAGACAGGCTTTGAAGCTTTGTTAAGTACTATAGAAGTCTCGGCAGAAGCAGTTATTTAGTTAGATATAATACTCTGTATAGCATAACTCTTACTATCCTCCTCAAGTTGGCTATTTCCTATTCTTCCTTTTGTTTCAAAGTTTTTTCGACGAAAAGTGAGCAATTTGGTTTGCTCCCTCCAATTGATCGACAATGCTTATACAATCCAAATCAGGAAACCAGGAGTTATATATTAATCTCTACACATGTCCAAATTAAATAATACGTATATTGATTACATATAATATAGTAGTTATAGATAACGTAGAGACTTCAATACTTAGTATCATATAATTTTTTAGGCTACCGAA